AACAAGTATTTACTATGAAAAAGAAAAAGAAAATTAGAAGAATCATAAGAAAATGCATCGAAGTAGCACAACTGTGACATCAACAATACATTGTAGAAACTGTTGATATTTGATGGAAAATAAGTCTTGCATGAAAGATTACTTGGCATACGTACACAACTACAATCACAACCACAACCATTATCAATGTAGTAGCCACTATACTAACAAAAAATAAAAAAAACAAAATAATATAAAGAATAAATAGGTGATTATTAATTCCTTTGCCTAAATAGAAGTCCAATGCATGAAAGGTTTTTGCAAGAATGTTGATAAGAGGGATCCGGGATTTTAATTAAATTGAATCTTTCATGGCATTATACCATTGTGAAGCAAGAAGTTTGGCTCTTGTTGTGCATAAGGAGAGCGTTGCTCAATGTTGATCAATCCAATGAGTTTTATGAGATTGTATGCATAGATATGAAGCATTGGATAGACAGACTTCAAAACTTCTTTATAAAAGAAAAGTGTTCTTTATTGCTTGCATTGTTTTTCATCAACTATATTAGCCAAAACTCTGTTGTAATAATTGTCACATATATATATAGATATTTTAATAAATACCTATATGATTAGATAAAAATAGGTTAATTTTATAATACCTTTTAAAATAGCTTTCTAGAAGCTTCATAGACATTGCTTTGACTTTATATGTATTTGTAGTTGACTGGTAAGTTAGAAACTTGGTCAATAAGTTAACCACGTATTGATAGCTTGTGGAACAAGCTAACTATATGATGCACATGTAAAAAACTTACCTTGTAAGTTAAAATACGTTGTCCTAATGTAAAATGACTAATAGATGAAAAGATGAAGAAAATATCATATTTTTGAAGATCTTATATCAAATATATTAGAACAAATTATCTTAAAAAAATAGATAATAGTCAAGGGTTAAAAAAATTAAAGATTCTAATACTACCTTTTTACAAAATAGGCTTCTATTCACTTTGTAGGACCACAAATAGAACAAAATAAGATAGATTAGAAAAATAAATAATATAAGCACTTTTGAAAAGAAGTTGAAAGTAGTTTCTAGCAAAAATTATCTAAAAAAATTAGATATTGATACCGAATGAGAGTCAATTATGAACTAGGATCGAAATCAGACCCCAAGACACATAACCGAGCTCTGACAAGGATTCTATAGTTCTTTGGTAGATCAAAGCATAGAATTAGGAAGCAAGCTTAATAAGGATTTGATGAGCATTAGTTTTGGATGATTTGAATTTGTATTAACTTTGTAAGAGCTTTGCAAAGTTAAAGTTTGTTTAGGATGACTTTGGATTTGTGAAATAAAATGAGAAATACTTTTTGGATAATTCCATAAGTTTGGTAATAAATCTATAAGTGAAATTTTGAAGATTTTTGGATTTATATATGTTCAATATATGTTGTGAGTTTGAACTGGATTGAAGGGTTGGATTGAAGATTATTGAGAAGTGGATCAGGGTCTCAAAAAGTAGAGTTTTAGGCCTAGTGAGGAATTCTAAGATTTCTTGCAATCTATTAATTGAATTGGAGTAAAAATTATGTGTATGGATAGTAGACTTATTTTCTTACATATTTGAGAAATTTGAGATTAATTGAACAACTTGATAAGGAGATATTGGCGCTGAAAATTCAACATTCAGATTGGAGAAGGATGCTGGCTAATATCCAAGCAAATATTAGGATTGATCTTCTTTTTGGTGAGTTCGATCTTCTTCAAAAAATTTGTACTTGTTGTCAACTTTATTTTTAAGAGGTGTGCAAATTTTGAGTTAAAATCAATAATTCATTCAATAGCTATTGAGGTTTAAATCTACTATAGGAATTACTTGGGATTATTTAGGATTTGATTAGGATTTATTTAGGATATGGTTAGGATTTTTTTAGGATTTGGTTAAGATTTTTTTAGGATTTGTTTAAGATTTGGTTAGGGTTTGTTTAGGATTTGATTAAGATTTAATTAGGATTTATTTAGGATTTGTTTAAGATTTGGTTATGGTTTGGTTAAGTTTGATTAGGATTTTTTTAGAATTTGGTTAGGATTTAGTTAGGATTTGGTTAAGATTTTTTTAGGATTTGTTTAGGATTTGACTAGGATTTGGTTAAGGTTTGTTTAGGATATGATTAGGATTTGCTTAGGATTTGACTAGAATTTGATTAAAATTTGATTAGATTTTGATTAGGATTTAATTAAGATTTCTATTATGATATTGTATTAAAGTTTTTATTTTAGTATATTTTTGAATTTTTATATTATTTCTTTATAACTCTTTAAAAAAATTCTATGAATACTTTGTATTTCTTATATAATTTCTTTGAAATTTTGATTGAATTTGATTGATATTTGATTATATTTGCTAATCTTTATTTATAATTTGTTTAAGAATCTATTAGAGTTGTTAGAACTTGTTGTTGCAATTTTCCTATCTTCCACAGTCAACTGCTTGGTACATTCTTAAGCCAAATGCCATGTAATACGTCAACATGTCTTATTAAGTCAACATATTTTGGAAGTCCTATAGGACATCGCCATGTAGCTCTTAGTTAAGAGTATATATGGAGGCAAGAGTGAAGCCTTCTTCACTCTTGTCAATACCTTTTTAGTCTTTAGTCTTGTTTCAAGGCTTTCTACTCTTCTTATTTTTTAGCAATAGCCATTTTAGTTCAATATTATATCATCTTTGAGTGACTTTCTAGTTCCTTTCAGTGACATAAGAGTATATTGAGGATTTTATTTCTTTGAAATTTAAATCCTTGACGGTAATTCACATTGAATACACTATTGGGTAAGATTTTTTCTTGGCTTTGATCAATGGAGGCTTGTAAATATTTCTTTATAATGATTTGTGACATATATTAGCTCTCAATATAATAAATTGAAACAATTTGAGGAAAATTTTGCCTAAGATTATCAATTTGAAGTTGAAAGGTGTAAAGCACTCTTATATTTGAGTTAGTTGTCTCTTTTGCTTTAAGCTCAAGAAAATTGACATTGTGTTGTATGTGCATGAGGTAGCTAAATGCTTATCTCAATTTCATTTTACTACATCTATATATTTGTGAGAATGTAGAATAGCAATTGCAAAGGAAAGTTCATTATGTAAGGTCTAACGTTTGTTATTTTTTATTTTTAATTTCTTTTCCTAAACTATTGAAGACATAGTGAATTAGTATTGCAAGAAGCAAGTGTTAAGACTTCCTAATGTGATATATTTGTCTTTGAATTCCAAAAAATACACCTTTCTAATATTAAGTCAATAGTAGAATTTTTTTTTAATGATGATTAGAATGGATGGATCGATTTAATAATGCTTGGATCAATTTAACAATTCTCTTGTTTTATATGTATTGTACAAAATATTTATATTTTATAATACTTCACAAGCAGATGTCAATATCATACCACTATGTAGATGTTCCATTTGTATCAATTACACTTAAATTATTTTAAAAATATAAATTATTTTGTATATATATATATATATATATATATCTGTATGTATGTATATATATATATATATATATATATATATATCCACACATGTTAGAAAAAAAATATTACACCAATAAACATTAAGTTTTAACAAGTGATATCTTTTTGTGAATAAAATTCATACTAACATCAATTATAATAAGAATTAGTTTCTTGCCTTGTTTTAGAAGTAATTTTATAAAACCATGTTATTAATATTAAATAAAAATTGTGACACAAAAATAAATAATAATTTAAATATTATGACATTATAACCAAAAATCACACAAATAAGTTCTATTAACACCACCTAAAACAACACCACCCAAGACCATCAAAGACCACCTAAAAAAGACTTGGAATAATCAAAAAGATTATTTTTATCTCAAAAACTTGTCTTTTGTAGAAATAAATAAATAAATATGTCTTATATTTGCTCAAAATTCTACATATAATAGATGTTCACGTGTTGGCAAGGCTTGTGGACTTGCTTTAGAAAATAGTTTTAATAAGGAAGTGTTGTATAAGCTATTCTTTTTTCTTTATTTATTTTTTTCTCCTATTCCAAAGCTTCAATTTATTCATATTTTCTTCATATTCTAAGTATTTCCTTTATACTTTCTTGAATGCCTTATTCTTAAGGTTGTATTCATCAATGTCAAGCATATGTGACAACATCTTCATCCATTCACATTGTCACTCTTTCTTTAACTCTATCTTTTTATAGAAGCCTTATTTAGGAATTTTTACAATTTAACTTATCTTTAAAAACTCTTCTAAAATTATATAATAAAATTTTTATTTTTATTTTGTTCATAGAATTAAAAAAAATATAATCTTACCAAAGTTTAGATAGTTTATAATTCTAAGTCAAAGAAAAAAACCGATACTATTAGAGCTAGATCTACATGGCAACCAAAAATAAGATACACTGAAAAATAGAAAGTTAAAGAACAAACAGTGACAAACCAAAAAAAACCTTAAAATAGAATTTAAGTTCTATGTTATTTTTTATCATAGAGTTTCTTGTGAAATACTAGCAAGGATTATAAATGAAAGTTTCTAGAAATTAGATTTGGTCATAAGCTACGACAAAGATTAATGAATCATCATGTGCAATGCAATAGGTCTTAGTTGGCACATTTAACTTAAAAGCTATTATTCAATTTCTATTTCTAATTGTAGTGAAATGTAATTTAAGGTGACTTTAGAAAGTTCACGAAGTAATTCAAGTGCTTAACTGTAATAATTTTGTTTACATTTGTCTATATTTATGTTTACATTACAAATAAAAATAAGAATACAATTGAAAGATAGATAGATACTAACTAACTACTGTACCAAATAACACACATTGTGCAAAACTCGGAACGGGCAACTGAGATCTGGGTTCCTGAAAACTTGCAAAGCAAGCAGCTTCAGACAGAGAAAGTGGCAGCAGAGCATCACGCAACCCAACGGGGCATCCGCGCATCCCCACATCGTTCGTTCGTTCGTGTATTCATCACATTCTGGCACTCGCTGCCGACTCGTCGAGACTCTCGTGGAACTCGCAGCGACTGTGGGAGCTACTGGCTGCGCTCTTCTGGAGGGTCGGTTGTTCGTGAAAAATCCCCTGGTTGGTGGATCGAGGTTTTTTTCTGGGTGTGGAGGTTTTCGATTGGCTTTTTTCTGGGGGATTGGCGTTGTTGGTTAGTGTTGGAGGGCGCGCAGTTTTTGTGGGTCGGGAGGGATTTAGGTCGGGGTTTGGAAGTAAGCGCAGGGTGCGACCATGTCGGCACGTAAGCGGACCTTGTTGAAGGTGATTATTCTTGGCGACAGCGGGTAAGCTCTACGCGTTCATATTTCTCTCCCAATATATATATATATATATATATATATATATATATATATATATAATTAGTTAGTTTGTTGTAGTTTAGAAATTTTTCAACTATCAAGGAGCTGGTATGGTGAATAGCATGAATCTTGTCAACATGCGTTACTATTGAACTGCAAAGTCGTGTAGAGGGGAACTTGAGTTTGTATCTGAGCCCTCGCCGAGAAGTCGCTACGTCTGCCCGTGTTGGTCAATTGCTTTTTACTAGGTGGTTGGCTGACAGCGTGAGCGACGTTTTTTCTTAATTAACTGACACCAAGTGTCTTCGTAGGAGAGGTCCTTATGTGACCGTGCAATAGGACCTCATTGAAAGGGGCTATTCACAAATTTCTCGACTGATGTATATCATGTGCATAACTAGGTGTCCCAGGTTTATAAGATAGGACAGATTGGTTGTAAGACTCTTGTTGAATATAAGTTAAAGTGCATCACGTTTTATCAATTTCCTCGTAGTCTTTTTATTCACATACTTTCCCACTGTATTTTCTTTTGTTATGATAACAGAGTTGGAAAGACGTCGCTGATGAATCAGTATGTTAACAAGAAGTTCAGCAACCAGTATAAGGCCACGATTGGAGCAGATTTTTTGACAAAAGAAGTGCAAGTCGAAGACAGGCTTGTCACAATGCAGGTCAGTAATCTCTGTGTGCTGATCTACATTCTTTTCTGAATGTTGGCCCAGTGTGACTTGTTCCCATCCCCTGAGCCGGTAGACTGATATGAATTCATGGGATGGGGTCGGAAGAGATTTGAACAACTGCTCTATGATTTAGCCTTTTCATCTTTTTCTCAAAAGAAAGATAGTAGGATCATTGTTTTTGGCGGCGCCAGTATTTTCGATTTTCCTCGGTATCTCTAACTCGTGAAACCGTTGCCTCATCTCGACTAACATACGTAGAGCTTTTTCTGCTGACAGATTTGGGACACAGCTGGACAAGAGCGGTTTCAGAGCCTCGGTGTTGCCTTTTACCGTGGTGCAGATTGTTGTGTCCTTGTCTATGACGTTAATGTTATGAAGTCATTTGATAACCTTGAAAACTGGCGGGACGAATTTTTGATTCAAGTAAGTTTGTACCTCCAATTGGCAATCTTAAAATTTTATCTCTTACACCTTTTTCTCTTGCCATGCAGGACACATTTTCTGTCATTAAAGCAACTTAAATCTTTGTACTTAACAAAAAGCTTTTCGTGTACATACTCCTTTCCTTACGTGCCTGTTTAATCTTTCTGTATGGAATGTTTTTCTGACGTTAACGTTGGGTGTTGCAGGCAAGCCCATCCGATCCAGATAATTTTCCTTTTGTGGTCCTAGGCAACAAAGTTGACGTGGATGGTGGCAACAGTCGAGTGGTGAGTTTACTAGGCTTGAAGTCTGATTTATTTACAGATTATTACAGCAAGCATCACGTAGCTCATATCGATGGGTAGTACAGTTCAAGCCTTATACTCCTCTGGTTTTACGAACGGATATCTCACTGTTCTTCAACTTTTTTGAACCAAGGTTTCGGAGAAGAAGGCCAAAGCATGGTGTGCAGCGAAAGGAGACATTCCCTACTTCGAGACATCTGCCAAGGAAGATTTCAATGTAGATGTGGCATTTCAGGTTATTGCTAAGAATGCATTGAAGAACGAGACAGAGGAAGAAATGTAAGTTGCACATAAGCACTTCGCTCTTCCTCTTGCAGACAGTGTGTGGTATTAAGCCGTAAATCAAGTCAAGAATATGATCTGATGGACTGCAATGTTTGGCTTGTGGTTGCAGTTATGTCCCCGACACAATCGACGTGAACTCCAGTAGACCTCAAAAAGCTTCTGGTTGCGAATGTTGAAGACCATTGGAGGAGCTAGTGATGGTGCTTGCCAGAGCCTCTCAGCCAGACATGAGGTTGGATGCTTTTCAGGCAATCAGTCAGATGACTATTACTTCACTGAGCTTTCGTATTCATCTCTCTTCAGTGGTGTTCGATGCTCCTCTAAATTGCAGATTGTGTTTTACGCCAATGCCATGCTGGTATTGTGGGTGATTGGCAAATTGTGCAGATTGTTGATGCTTTATGTAGATTGTTGTGAAGCTATTTTGATTGAAAGGGGTCTCTTGATGCTTGTTCTAATTCAACTATTAGCAGGTTAGTAGAGTTTTTTAGTGGGATGTTTTAAAAATTTGTAGGAGACTAGTCGGCCCAAGGAAGCGGCTTTGAAGTGTATGATAATCTTGATTTTTATTTTTGCGTGGTCTATTTCCAGAACTATTCAGAAGTAATCTCAGCATGGTGAAATGTCGAAACGGTTACATCTTTAATAAGCTGATACTTCCTAAGGAGTAGAAAATGTTAGCAGGGACTCGATTCAGATTAAATGCTATTGTTGAACGAAAAGCTCAAATTTCATGTTTTCAGAAGGACCATCATCCAAGAGGTGATGAAAGCCTTTGCATTGATGGTCAGATGACCATTTGATGGAATGTGTTGAAACGAATGTGTTAAATACCGCCCATTGAATCTACACTGATGGGAATTGATCTCTATTTTGTTTTAGTAGTTAACGAATTGCATCTTTTTAAGAAGATGTCTTTACTGTGTCGATCCAAAAAGCAAATGTTTAATATTTTGTTTTCAACTACCATGCCTTAATTTTGAAACCGTTGAATTATGAGTGACTTACATCTCCAAACTCTTTAAATAGGAAACGTTTCATTCAACAGTTGGAATCTTAAAAGTATGGTTAACGGTTGCGTGAAATAACGGGGGACGATAACAACCCAAGTCAACAAGAAAAATGTGAACAAAAGCAGCTCGATTTAAAACTGTTGTAAAGCTATGTGCACTTGTTGAAGTATTACAAACTGGGAACATGTTAATGAATCTTAGTATTTCATATCTCACAAAACTGAGCGAACAGTTCTTTTTTGGTTTCGTGCAACACAAATAAATGTAGCCTGTGACGCCTATGACTAAGCACTTCCCGAACATTATTAATAATTAGTTCTTGTTCTACACATCAACCAGTATGGAGTGTGAACTTTTCATGAAAACTGTGAAGACTCAAGTCGGCTTCCATTCCTCTTTTATATTTTTCAAGGTATTTGGGCAGTATTTGTATATAGTGTTGAGCAGGTTAGGACGATTTCAATTGGTGATAGAACAAATACCTCACATCGATGACTTCATTTTAGGATTGAACGCTAGATTCTATCCAGTAATCCCAAGAGTAATTTGCTTGGTAACTTCCATCTTAATGAAAATATATCAAATGAATGTCATCAACCACAGGTTAATGCTTCGAACTCTGCAGAAATAAGCAATAATTTCAGTAGCCTATTTATAAGCAACGCCTGACCCTACTGGTTCAGGACGACTGCGCTGCTCTAGAACACTAAATACCACTCCTTCCCTTAGCTCATAACCCGTGGCTGACTGGCTCAGCCTTCTTTCTCCACTAGAAGTTAGTTCTGGCGAGCTTAGTGTCTACCTAAACCTACAACACTAGTCTACCTGGCCTGAATTTGCAGAATGTTGCTGATCAGCCTAAAATGCTTCTAACACAAGCTCCAATACAAACTTGGGTAACCTTCTCTGTGTAACAGAATCCAATGAAGGTACGTGGCTGATTCACCTAAACCATAGCCATACGCTCCACTCTCATCAAGTCGGAATTTACTTGTGAAGCTGGATACCTCTGATGATTATTAGAGGTAAAGCCTGAGTTGCGGAGAGAGGGAACTCTGGGCTGCCATAGTTTCCAAAGCCTGTCATGGCTTGCAGTTACAAGGAAGTCTGCCGTGGGAGACCATGCTACGTCAAATACATGATCCGAATGTGAGCTGCAACGATGGAACATACGAGTTAGGTGAAAAGATTTCTGATGGGTGGTCGTTTCCAAGTGATCAAATTAGAAAGCATGATATATGAAACATTGCAGAGGTGCCAGAGTCCTAACAGACAGCGTCAGCCAGTCAAACATGAGGTCACACTAGTCTGTTGGTATCCGGAATTTCATCCTAATATCAGAAGAACACATACCTGAGGATCTGGGCACAATCCCACGTAGCGGTGTCAAAAAGTCGGACTGTAGTGTCTCCTGATGTAGTAGCCAGGAGCTTGCCATAAGGTGAAAACACAACTCGTTTCACTTCACCTGAATGTGCCTGGAGCACAACTATTGGATGACCCATGCGCAGGTCCCAGACCCGGCATGTTTTATCGTCGCTCCCTGTTGCTAAGTACATCCCTGAATCATCAATATCTACACCTATAACATCCTCTAGGTGACCCCTAAGAGTTTGCACATCTTCACTGGTACGAGGGTCCCAAAGCTTCGCCGTGAAGTCAAAAGACGCTGTGGCCACTAAATTACCTCCGCTTGGCTGAAAGCAAACACCATAAACCCCATGTCTGTGACCCTGAGCAATAAGACATCAACCAAACAGTAACCATGGTCAGCACAAAATGGCTGATAGTTGAGGCATGTAGAATACCAAGTACTCGGCAGGTAGCCTTCAGAGCGACAACGACAATAATCTACATTACCATCTGCTTTCCAAATAAATTTCCTACTTTGCTCTCCAGGAGATTAAAAAAAATCTGACAGTATCGTCGTGTATGTCGCGCAAGAGACATTTTACTGCCTGAGACACTACAAATAGCTACCAGAACACACTAATCTCAGAAATTTTCGTAATTTAGTAAATGAGGTGCAAGAAGAAGAAGAAGAAGAATGATCAACTGTGCATGATGAAAATTCAAATTTGTACATGTTCAAATTACCTTCAAAGTAGTTACAGAGATTCCCTTTTCGGCATCCCAAATCATGCTCGTGGCATCATCTGATGCTGTTGCTAGCAGATGCGTACCTGGCTTGAATGACAATCCATTCACCTGAGATGCAACTCCCAACAAGGGTTTTACATCAGCCACATCTTAAAACCAAACACAAATCACTAGGTAACTCCGCCTAGTAAAAAAGAGCACAAGATGGAATTGTGAGCGATAATCAGAAAAGATTCGGGTGAGAAGAAAACCTCATCCGTATGGCCTTCGAGAACACGGAGGCATTCTCCAGTATCTGTATTCCACAGGCGGCAGGTCTGATCCGAGCTGACGGTCCCAACAAGGTCTCGCTTAGCTGGAGAGAATTTGACAGCATAAAGGCCGAGCAAATGACCGGAAAGTACAGCAACTTCCTCTTCCAGGTGTACATCATATACGCGACATAAGTGGTCCCATGAAGCAGTAGCCACAAGATTCCCTGATGGATTGACTGCGATCCCATGCACAGGACCAGAATGCATCGGGAATGTGTGAGCAAGTTCCCATTTAGAAGCACTAAGACGCTCTCCAACTTTTGCAGGTGCCCTTGATCCGCCTCTGACTGGAAGATACCCGGAATCAGTGTAACCAACCTGTGATATGTTGAGGTTGGTAAGATAGCTTCCCATGGCATTAATCTCACTTTCCCTATCTAATCCCTGGAGGCGAAGCTCTGAATAATAACCGCTATCCTGGGTATCACAATCAAGGTCCCACCGAGAGTTAGATGCACTTCCTCGGGGCCGAAATCCCATGTTAATGGCTTGTTTCATTACTTCATTCTCGTCAGTTAGAACTTGAACTCGCGCTGACAATTCTTGCTTGGTTTTTTCAAGCGCAGCTACTTGAACCCTGAGCCTTGCGCGCTCAACCATGACCTGTTGCCACCTCTCAGCAACTTTACCCAACACATACTTAACCTGCACGGGTAGTGAGGAAACCGCGTAAGAACACCGCGAATCATAGTCACCTTCAATTTGCTGTTGGAAAACATACACACTGTGCTCCGATGCAACAGCACGAGCTATAAATACTTATGAGATATTCAACACATGTCCTTTGAGAAACACTACAGCTCGATGATGAATAAGATCATTATCCCATCATTGACAAAACATCTCAGTTCTCGACTTTTGAAGAGACCATTATACTACCGCTTCCCTACATCATGCTAAAATCTAAGATGGCTTTGAAAACTATGATGAATATTCAAAAGGCTACTTGCCTGTACATCTTCGTTATCACAATTCCTTCGCTGCAAGCAATCAGCAACACGACCTCGATCTGCACCTGCAGCAGTCCCCTCGGCACTGCTTCTGCCTGTAGAACTCGGTTCCCCTCCTGAAATCTGAATTGCTCCGTTCTCTCCTGCACCGCTAGCTCCAACCCCACTAGACTTTGCCCCACTAGAGCCATCTCGCACCTGCCCATCTTCACATCCTGAAATCCCTAAAATCTCCCCTTCATTTTCACTGATTTCATCGTCAAAACCAAGAGAAGGCGACTGCAGCCCAGCATCATGGTCGAACAGTGCAATCAGCCCTGAAAATCCTGCTACAGTATTCCGACAGACTGGACAATTTGTTTCCGTGCGAAACCAAATAGTTGCACAATCGTGGCAAAACACATGGCCGCAGGATGTAATTCGAGCTTGCTTGCCCTGCCCTGAGGCGTTTTCGAAGCATATTTTACAGGTAAGACCCATGACGTGCCAATCCTCTCTGCTCAAAATACCATGTGATGCCTTTCAAGCATCACAGAAGGATAAGATCTCGACCGCTTCACTAATCGAGCTTCGCAACGCCAAGTTCGCGAACAAGAACTCCATCCGGTCTACACCCTCATCAGTTTCAACTCTAATTTCACCGAAAATCTCTACAGCATACCACTTAACACCACTTCTCGGGCTCCGTCCGTCCCCAGATAATCTGCCCCGAAAACCCCTACCCGGTTCCCATAATCAACGAGTCACCCACAACCAATAACGCCGCCGATTCAACTTATCGAACCCATGCCAATTACTTCAAACGTGCAACATCAAGAGCAGCCTCTAGCTCTATTCAAGCACTCACTTCATTATCTGCATATATCTAACCCTGAAATCACAACATCGATCAGCGAAAGCCCACACCCGGCCAACACATATCACATCCAATCCCTCAAATACCATAATCTATAACCTAGGATCCTTCATCAATTCACGGAAATTCCCATAAAGACGGAAAACTAGTACGACCTCCCACCTGGACCCCAAAGCCTTAAAAACCCAGCTTCCACACAAACACTCAACCGACTTAGTCCACTTCAACCACAAACCAAAGATCTCAAACCTCCTGATCTCCAGTCATGCTAAAACCTCAAACCAGTGCAAACGCTCAATATTCACAGCAAAAGCCATGGGACACCGGCCTAATCCATAACCACGGCCATTTCAACATTTCAAAGCACAGAACAAGCCTAAGCCCGAGCTGCCTGTACTTCGAGAATGCCTGCCACCCCCTCCTGCTCACAGCCCGAAAAACGCGAGAATTGGACCGTCTCTCATGCCACGTTTGGCATTGACAAAGATTGGTAAACGCGATGAGAAATATTGTTCACCAATGCACGCGAATAATACTAAGGTGTCTTCCAGCCCTGCCGAACCCTAAACCGGCCACTAATGAAGCTGGCCTTCCCCGGAAGAGGGGGAAGAACGGTCTCGGTTTTCAGATTGTGAGAACTTGTCGATTTCTCATTTGTAGGATGGAAATAGCTTTTGTCAGCGATTAGTGCAAATCATGGCCAGAGGACCTGTTCTTCTACCCAAATGAAAAAAGTCCAATCACATAAAAAATTCAACACAGGTTTTTGATTTTGTTTTGGAATATTCACACTTGGTTTTTGTTGAGAATGTTTTGGAGAGACACAAGAGTTGCTAGAAGTAATATTGCACTCAGGTACAATTGCACACATTCACACAAGAAAACAAGAGTATATTGATATGGTTGTTTCTTATATACAAACAAAAGGAGAGAAGATAAAATAGTTTTTCCAAACACTGTAGTTAGAGTATTTATTGTAAACTACAATAAATTTTATGGAGAGTGTTGGCTATATTTAATGCTCTGAACACTCCTCCTCACTTGTCATAATATTTATATAACAAAAAAATTGCATAGAATTATGATTTATACTTTTCAGTAATCTTGCAAGATCAACAATTGTTGCCTTATTAAAACCTTATTAAAACCTAATCTAAAAAAGCCTTACTGTATTCAAGGATAAATCCATAGATGAAGGAAAAAGAATACATCATTTTTTTTTAATTATTTAAAGAATTCATTAATTTTCTAGCTTAAGAAAAGCAAATTGCTACATGCCAATGCCATAAGTAAGTCAACAATGGTTGCACAAAGGAAGAGCTTTGGTGAAGAGATCACCAAGGTTATTTGCATATTTAATTTTCTTGATTTTAAGTGCTTGATTAGTAACCTAGTCATGGATATAACCAAAATACTTTGGATCAGTATGCTTTCTCCTATCGCCTTTAATGAAACCAATTTGCATTTGCACAACACAAACACTATTGTTTTCATATAAGATAGTTGGAAAATCATCATATGAAAGTCCACAGGTTGTTTGAATGAGTTTATCAATCAATTGCAATCAAATGCATTCTCGAGATGCTTTATATAAGGCAATAATTTTTGCATAGTTGGATGAAGTTGCAATTATAATTTGTTTTACTAATTTCTATGATAATATAGCTATATGTCTTAAGAATACATAGCTTGTTTGAGATTTAGCTATTGCTATATCAAATTTATATCATGTATCACAATATCCAATCAATTTTAGATTTATAGATTATGTATAATATAATCTCATTTATTAGATAAAGTGCTTCAATTACTACAAGGTATGTGAGATTATCTCTAAGATTATGTGTAATATAATCTCATAGATGGTAGTATTTTTTTCTATGAGATTTAATAGATCACTTGTAAACTTATTTGTAATTAAATAATCTCAAAGACGTTGATACCAAAAAAATTGCATCTAAATTGTTTTAGACCATACATGGCCTTGTGTAATTTCATACCACAATATTGTCTTGGAGCAAGTACATTTGGAATTTTTGTTTTCAAACCAAGTGGAAATTTTATATAAATATTTGTAACAAGAGAATTATATAGGTATATAGTTACCACATTCATGAAATGCATCTCAACGGTGGCATGAATTGCCATTCCAATATTTTATCAAAATGTAATTGAATCTATAATTAGAGAATATGTGGATTTATAATCAATGCTAAACCGTTGGATAAATCCTTTGGCAACAAGATGAGTTTTGTAGCAGATTATTTTATCCTTAGTATCTCACTTGCATATTAATATCAACTTACATCCTATAGAGCAAGATGTAAGAGTATCCATAATTAGACCAAAGACTTTCTTCTTACTCAAAGAGGCATACTTGTCATCAATGGTAGTTTTTTTATTTCAACTAGTCAAAGCAATGCATTGCTTCCTTGATGGTTTGAGATTCAAGAACCTTTTCTTTGTAAAAAAAGAGCTTTTATAATCATGCATGTAAATGGTTTATTTATTATAATAGATGTCTATCCCAAATATCATTTGTAGTATAATATTGAACAGATAATTTTATATTCAACTTGATTTTATTCCTCCTTATTTTAAGGTTTTCTATTACATGAAGTGAAGATATAATTTCTATGGACATATCATCATTAATTGATGGTCTTATAGGTTTAATAGGAACTTCTACAAAAACAATACCAAAATCAATACATGTTATAGCCTTCTTCTGATGTGATTGTTTATTTAGTCCAAAAGTCTTTTTAATTTTTGATGTTATAACTTGAGATATATTAGTTAGTGGTATTGCAATTTAAGCATGTGCCTTTTGAGCCTCATTAATAGGAACTTTTATAATCAGAGGCACATCATTGAAGCCATTAGATGTTTCATTTGCAATCCATTTTAGATACAAAATCTTAGCAACTTCAATTTTAGTTAAAGATATTTTAGGATCACAATTCATTTTAAACATTCTTGGTACTCCAAATACAAGTACTATATTTCTTTATTGATTAGATATTCTTCCTCAAAGAGATGAAAATACTTTCTTTTCAAAATAAAAATTTTAAAAATGTGGACGTAATAATAAGCCAATTGATGAATCAACAATAAAAATTATGTTTGGTGAATCAAAACCAACATATATATCTTCTCATCAATGAATTCTAATGGTATGCTGTTGCGGTTATGATATTAGAATCCAAGCACAGCAATCAAATATTTATAAGTGAAATATATTTGGAACTTGATTTGAAATGAGTTCTTATGGTGTAATAATTTTAAGAAGAGAAGGACAAAGGTGTATTAATACTATTGTATGTAAAACTGCATGACTCCACTTAGATGCAAATAAATTTGCTTGAAGAAAGAGTAGTCGGGTAATGAGTTATATACACTTTATAATTAACTTTATAAGTCCATTTTGAATATGTTCATATGGAACTTAATATATCAATTCCATCCTTCTTGCAGTATAATAGTCTTTAAAAGACTTTGATACAAATTCTTTTGCATTGTCCATACACAATCTTTTGATAGGATAATTAAGAAATTATGCTAAAAAATGAATAAGCATAGATATAAGATTGGCAAATACCATGTTTTGGATTGATAATAATGAAATATGTGATTGTTTCTCTAATGCATCAACAAGGATCAAAAAATAATAAAATGGTCTTCATATTGGATGAATAGGACCACAAATATCACCATGCAACCTTTTAAGCATTGGTGGTAATTTTCATAGAAGTTTTTAAATTGAAGGCTGGGAAAACATCTTATCTTGTACACATGCACAACATAATTCTATAGAATTTGTATCTGAAAGTCTTAAATTATGCCTAATTATATATGAAATTATCTTCCATAATAATGTGGATCCTAAATGTCTCAATTGTCCATGCTAGAGAGAAATATGACTCTTTATAATAGATGATGTATAATTAAATACAAATAAAAGTTAGAATACAATCGAGTATAAATAATTTATTATAACAAAGGTTTTTTCAACAAATTTATGATTTTGTGCAAAAACCAAAACCTTCCTACCTACCTAGATTGGCAATTGAAAGATAATAACTATTGGCATGCACATCTTCATAGTTAATCAAATTTCAAAGTATTGAGGGTGCAAACATTGCATGTTTATATTTTATGATAGAGGCCATAGCTAATTTTACCATTGCTATTCTCTCTTGGAAACAAAACGCATTTGTTTTAGCTATGGTCATCAAATTTTTAGTTTGTCAAGTTGAATATTTTTTTGTAAAAAAATATATATTACATAGGATAGTATGTATTGTTCTATAATCAATGAGTGCATCATTTGACTCACCATTAAAGATTTTGTCATTTATATAAGCCTCTAAATCATTAACAATAATTGAGTCAATGGATGCATCTTTGGTATGAACTTTACGAACTTGAACTAGAAATTTCTTATTTTTTTAGTATATTTTAACAAAATATTTTGAAGTATGACATTCTAGAATAGGTAAATAAAATTTGTGATAAGTTATTGGTTGGTTATTGACAACCTTGAGAATTAGACTGATGGCTGGGCAGTTTAGGTGGTAACAGTAGGTTGTTAGTAGAATAAATGGTTAAGAATTCAAAGGGTCATAACCTTTGGAATCCGTTGGCCGAAAGATCATCTTTTGATAGGATAAATAAGTTGAGAGTCGTAAGCCAAGAGCCAGACTGAGAGTTGTAAGCCGAGAGCCAAACTGAGAGTTATAAGTTGGGGTAAGCTTAGTACTACCTCTTTGTTTTCTTTATTATTTTCTTATGAAGAATTGTGATTGAGAGAAGTATTGTTGAATTGATAATCGTAGAATGGATTATGGATTGAATTAAGATGGAAGTAGTAAGCCTCGATGTTTTGTAGTTTGATAATTGATTTCAGATAGCCAGAGTACAGTCAATTGTGATACTAACAGATCCAATTCATATAACCAATCTTTCCCCGTATTTGAACCCACTTCTATTAATTCAATTGCTTTAGTCTACTGAAGCTTGAACGCAATGAGAACAACATTTTGGCATCACTATCGGAAAAATGATAGCAATATGAAATGTTAGAAATTGATTGTATGGGAGATGGAATTATATGTTGAATGAGAACATGAGAAGAACAAGTTTTAGGATTACAAATATGTGAGTTATAATTTAAGGCAGTATTAATTTTGTAAAGAAGAATGAAAGATTATGAGTGATAATGATGGAGGGGAGGATTATCAAAGAATTAATCGACAAACAAAAGAAAGATAAGAGCAATTACGCATAAGAAATATCCTACGGAAATAACAAAAAGAAATTGCATGTCTAAAAAAAACCAAAGGAAGAAAAATTCAGATTCAAATAGTAAGGAAACTAGTGATAACACCAATGGCCGCGAAAGTGTCAGAAGAACCAATTGCAGTACAAATGGGAGCAGTAGGAGACCAAACTACAAGTGTGGCACTATTACCTACTTTTAGTGGTTGGTCGGACTTTGATCCCGATCACCATATATCTCAATTCTTGACAGCTTGCGTGGTTAATAATGGTAGAACTGAAGATATTTGATTGAGATGGTTGCCAGCAACTTTAAAAGA